ATAAATAAAACAATTACGACATGAAAAATAATCTTTTTTGAATATCTAAAACAACTAATTTTGAATTTAAAGTCTCAAAATAATAACATTGTAATATAAAAAAAAAAAAAAAAATGGTTACCTACCTTATTATAACATCAAATAATTGTAAGTTTATAACTTAATTATAAATGTTTAACTTTTTCAATCTATATGATCAAACAATAAATATTGTAAATTTTAAAAAGATGTTTTCATTTAAGAAAATAATTAATTTCAACAAAACTTGAACACTAATTGTATGAATAATTTTTGTTTATCATAAGTATTTTGTTAATCATACTATTGTAGGTTGTAGAATTACACTTACTAATGTAGTTGTAATGTTCAATTTTAGAATTTCTTAAAAAATTTTTTGTACAGTTAACAAATTATATAGATAAGAAAAAAAAATCAAATTTTAACAAAGTTGTGCATAATTTTACTTATACAAAATTTAATATTAAATATATTTAAATAGTTGATGAAAAAAAATGATTACAATTTTCATTACAACAAGAATAAACCAACTTGTCACAATATTTCATTTGTGAATCAAGAGTTTACAAACTATTAAGAAAATAAACTTACCGACGATAGGTGGTAACATAGTATTATGAATAGGCAGTTAATAATTTATGTTAATATATTTTATCTTTAATGAATATTAAATTTAAAAAATCTTGAAATATTTTTAACATATTTTAAGTTTGTAATGTTAATAAATGTACTATAGTTAGTTTTCATTATGACCACAAAATTGAATTTCTAACAATATTGCTATTCATTTATAAAAGTTTGAACAAATCCACATTATATCGATTCTTTTTTGTTTTAAGTTTAAATTTTCATACAATTTGTGAGGGGAAATATCTACATAGAAATGAAAATATGAAAATAATATTCAAATTAATTAAATGTGTGTATAATCGAATAACAGCCAGAATTAAATTATTTTAAAGTAGTGCCTACATAATCTACCTATGATTTGTATTTAAATTTAATTTATATACCCGCTAAAAGTTTAATAAAAAATATGGTATCTTATTCTAATATTTATTTAAAATTAGTGTAATAGGACCTATATAAAATGTACACGTTACAAATAATACTACATACAATATAAGTTCATATATAATAATATGACCTATGAGGGAAGTAATGCTAATGCAATTGTCTCCTCAGTTGTAATACCCATTATAACCATACCAAGAAAAAAAAAGGACATACTATTATAGTTACTTATTTTTTAAAACATAAAATTTTATCAGTTATTTTTAAAACTCGTTCATATTAATATTTTGTTAATCATAATAATTTATTTAAAATATCTAGATACAATTAAAAGAAATACAATCCAGCCGTGGCCGTATTTATTTCTGTAATATGCTACAAGACATGTTAACATTTATTTTGAAAATTGTTATTAAAAGCATATTTAAATTGAAAATCATATATAATCATATAAGTAACATAAAATAAGTATGTATTATTAATTTACAACTACTTAACATTTTGTTTTCATAATATCATAGATTAAATAAATTTAATCTGTGATAATACTGTGTATTGTAATGTTGGTCAAAAGTCAAATACCTTTTAAAAAGATAATTTGACTAATAAATAAATTTATAAATAATAATAATTGTTATATAAATATGAAGGAATTCAAAAAGTGTGTTTTTTTTTTATAGAAACATAAAAATTTAAATTTTTTAAATTTTCCACAGTAAATCAAAACTAAAGATTAAAAGTTATTATTTTATTATTAAAATATTACTTAAAATTTAAGGATTTTTAATAAAGAATTCATTGAGGCCTGAAACAATCATTATTATAACAACGGTGATGACCAAATGAAATAAGAATTTATAAACATGAATTAATTTATGTAGATAATATACCAATAAGAAATCGAGTTTGAGTTATAGACAATTTGTTACTTGAATTTATTAACTTGCTTTTCAAAAGTACATACGTCATTAAAGAGAAATAATTGCGTCTAATGTTTTAAGCTAGGATTCAAATTTCAATCAATTTCAATTGATAACACATATTAAAGTGTAAAATTTTGCTATAATTATTATTAAAAAAAAAAAAAAGTGTAAAATTATCACCAGAATTAATAAATAGGTTTACTATTTTACGATCCAAGTCTTGTCGTTATTAAATGGCACAAAATATTTAAAATATTTTTTTATCTAAAAAATATCAACATATATAGTTATATTATAGTCGTATAGCTGTATAGGTAGGCATTTATATTATGATAAAAAATAATTCAACTATTTGTAAAAAGCACTAAAAAATAATATTTTTCTCTTATATAGTTAATATATTTGTACATAAATATATCTAATATAACTATTATTATAATACCTAATAAAATTATATTTTGTGATGGAGCACCCTCATTGGGAGGCCTCTTATTTTTTTTTTTCGTCTCATCATTCAATATTATGTTATCAATTAAGTTTATTATTTAGCTCCTGTAACATATGCACAAGCAAATAATTTTTTTTTTTTTAATATGTCTGTTCATATATTTATATATGTTACCGAAAAAGATGACATTTAATCAATGTTGAAAATGTCTAGTCAATAACTAGTAATTAATGACGATTCCTAATAAAAGAAGGCATTAACGATAACTAGAGTTTATGACTTTTGCATATTTTTTCTTTTAGTCGCTCACAATGCTGATTTAGTAATAAATTCATTAAAATATAAAGTCAGATACAATTTTATTTTGCAAATTTAAAAATAACTTAAATATAATATAAACCTCGATATAACGTAAATGACATATTTAATTTTTTTAAGGGTATATTTTAATATTTATTGGGCATATTTGCATGTAATTTTTTGTCTTTTTATAGTCATAAACATCTTAAACCTAATGATAAAAATGAAGTTAAAAATCGAATAGTATATGATAATACTAATTATCTATTTAGGATAAATTATAATCTTAAAACATTTAGGATTAACCATTATCTTTATTGCATCAATTTTTTTTTTTTTATTTTTTTTTTTTTGTTTATGGAACATCATTATTTTATGTTTTGTCATCTTTATTATTACATGATAACTGTTATGACACTTATAATTATATAATCTAGTAGATGCACGACAAGCACATCTATTGATTTTACTCTATGTTTTACTCGTTCAATGACATCTTGTAATCCTTGCGAGTTGCGATTGAAAATAGTTACAAAAGGTTATGATAACATAAAACTGGGTTTACTATATGCGAGTACACAGTAAACTAACCTATACTTTAGGTACCTACCTATGCTTTCATAATCAAATCGATCACCGATAAAGCAGTGTTAATATTTATTTTGATACGAATTAATAACATTGCCTAATATAATACGGAAATGTTGATAAAGCTACGAAATATTCAACATTTTCTATCCTTTCCATTCATTGTCAACAATGACTAGGAAATCACGGCAATTCTTGAATTATCATATTTTTTAATAACATATATATGTATAAAGATGACAATATAATCACAAATTCAAGAATGGATGCATTTAGGGAATGCCTAAATAATTAATTATACATAATTCGCAACAAGTATAAAAAGGATTTCTTAAAAATCATTTTGAATAACAAATATTACCATAAAAAATATAATCTTTTAACACATTTAAAAATCCAATATTATTAAAGTGATTGAGATTGTAATATATTAATATTTGTTAAGAGACGCTGCATCCGCATGTGTTATATCTATATTACATATATACAACATAGTAAATTCATAGTAGATTCCATTTTATGTTATTAGCTTTAATATTCGAGTAAATTTACCTATGTCAAACTTAAAAGTAAGAATTTTATTTAGGCCATCACATAGGTTTTTATTGATATTATAATTTTAAAGTGAGTTATGAGTATTTTAAAGATTTAATATTTTACATAATTATAACTTATAACTTATAACTCAGTTTAAAATTAAGATATCAATAAAAGCCTATATGATGGCCTAGATAAATTTTTATAATTAAGTTTGATAATAGTAAAATTTACTCTAATATTAAAGCTAATAACATAAAATGGATTCTGCTGAACGAAAATTTGCTATGTTGTATGTATGTAAAAGATGGAGATAAGTGATATCACATGCGAGTGCGACGTCCTTTTAAGTACATATTATTGCAATAGATGAAAAATATTCAAATAATTATACAGTGGTTGCTAAAAATTAAAAAGTATTTGAAGAAAAAAAACATCAATGGAGATTTTACAATTTTATATATATACAATTATAATTTATAAAAAATGCATGATATTTAGTTAATTTTTTAACACTGAACACTTTTTATTTCTAAATTAAAATTTTTATTAATGCATAATTAGTTAATAAAGTTATTATTGTATTTATGCATAAGTGTATGTGCGCATGTGAACAAAAATAAATTATAATAATTATCAAGTATTATATTTTTAACTATTAAGTGTTGACTGATAAAAAAACCTTAGTAAAATAAAGCATTTTTCTTAAAATTAATTACCATTTTTATATTTAATGTATACATTTAAAAAAATCAATATTTTGTTTTTAAAAAAAAATTTTAGCAAAAACAAAATAAATATGAGTAACTATATAATATGTTTATATAATCTATATAGTAATGACGCAGTCAATATATATCAAAGAAAAATGTTTAATACAATTAAAAAAAGACAAATCTATTCATTTTTGTTTCAAATAATTCTAATAATTCTAAAAATACAATAAAATAACAATACAGTTTTTGTGTAAATTTTATTGATTAGGTTTAATTTATGTAATTTGATGTACGTAATACGACATAAAAAAAAAAAAAAAAAAATGAAATAAATGTTTACTTATTTATAGTTATATGCTATTATAGTTTTAATAAATTCAATCGCTATATATTAATCATTAATTAATAAGAAATACATACATTTAGGGAAATTTGGTAAAATTAAGTTAATTTCAGATAGCAGTGAAGAGTCATAAACAAATTGTAAAAATGCACAATTTAGCTCATAATGTTCCAGTGTTGAACTCACCTTCATCATTTGTGTATAATCAATTTGGAACTTATGGAACAACTTATAATCAAGTTTGTCAGGTATGTGCTTAAAAATATATAATTTTCAATATTTTTAAAACAATAAAATGTATACTATTTATGCATTCAACATTATAGTATGTTATCACTTTTCATTACTTAGTATAGGTACTCGTATACTATAGTGTATATTATGTTTTCGTTAGAAAATATTCAAGTATATAGTAAAGAACTAAGGCTGATAACATTTCAATATAAATTATGAGTTATGAATAGATTAACACAAAATAATATAATATATTATGATGGTTGATAATAATTATTATTTTGTAGTTTTATATTCTTACACAATTTTCTAAATATAATAACATATCTACATATTTCTATACTCTGATTATTAAATTATTAGGTACATGAAAAAGATATAATTTATTTTAAATAACATTTAGAAAAAAATCAATTAAGTTACTTTCACTTTAAAAGCACCGTGATATTTTTGAAATAGTACGAGGTTATATTAATTGTACTGTATAGTATTTAGTCGTCTATATGTATAACATAGAGTGTAAATAAATATTTTAGTACTGATCGTTGAAAATTAAATATAGTTGTTAATAGTTATTAAATTTAGTTAAATTCAATTTAAAAAGCTTTGTTATGAAACTGAACTAGGTATAAAAAATGATTAATTATTTTAAAAATGTATTTCTAAATCAAAAACATTAATAGAAGATAAATATGGTATATTGGTATACGAATTCAATTAAGACTGAATTTATAAAATAAGTTGTTTATATATTACATATAGGTAGAAATTTATATATAATGGAAACTGATTTTCACACTTCATGGGTAATTATATGATTAGATTTATGATGATATATGAGCTTGTTTTAAAAAACATCATGAAAAACGTTGTATGCGATATTTCGACAACTATTTTTATTATTTAAATTTTTAGAAGATATTTAAAGTTGAAAAATAATAATTTATAACTTGTTTAATATTTTGGTACTTAAAAATCTTTTAGTGGAAAAATCTCTTAATAATATTATCTCATTATAAACCGTGTAATTAAAATCCGCGATATTTACGGTCTTGGTTGGTTTTCAATATAAATAATATTATGCCTCAATTGAACAAGACTGAGTCAACTCGTGTTACTGTTGTACCCGAGTAAAATAATTTAATATGAAAATAACATTTTATAAGAAAAATTTAATATGAAATTAAAATACATTTTTATAAAATTATACACAGAAAATATATTATTTTTTATTTTATGACGTACCTACCTAACTCAATAATTTGTTTTATACACAGTCTTCGTTAATAGCAACAGTCCAACCTCCACCGTCTGTGTCCACTTATATTAACTCGATGGTAACCGCTCAAACAATTACAACACCAGTTGTTTCCTCAATGAACAGTAAGATGTGCTTAAAATTGCATAATTCAAATAATATTGATTTCCATGTTTTTAATTACTATTACAGCTCAAATTGTGGATAGTCGCAATGTTCTGTCTAGTATACAGTCATCGACAATACCAATGTTTTCAATTAACAGTCGTCCAAACACATCAACCAGAGAACAACATTCGAATACTAGAACAACCAATCCAATTTTGTTTAACAATTCAACCATGCAGCAACAACCGTTTTCCACGCGTAATAATTTTTCATAATTTATTATTTTTTGAATAGTTATAAAATTTTCAAAATGTAACAACCCTTAGTTTCTTTAGTTTACCAATTTAATTTTTGAGAAATATTTCTATATGCCATTACTCATTTCTAATTGCGAAAGATAATATAATACAATTTAAAATAATAAACTGAGTTAGGTTAGAGAGATAAAGGAAAATTAAATTTTGAATAACAATTAGAAGTATTCAATTTCTTAATGTGTAGCCTATGAAATATTTTAGAATACTATTTTTATTCAATAATGAATAGTTTAGGTACATATAAAACTATTATTAACTAATAAAGTTATGCTCGTTGTTTGTTTAGTGGGATTATCCAAACAAAATGTATATTACTCATTCAATATCCCTTTCATCATGTAAAGTAATTTACTGGAGATTGTATTATAATGCTATTATATATAAGACGATATTGACATTTAATATTCACATTTCGAAAATATATTTATTGTCTATGTATTTGTAAACTATAAAATTTCATCATGAAAAATTATACAAAAAATTATACTAGTCACAAACTATTCAATTTGGTTTCTATTTTATGTTATACTTATAAAATATTTCTATTTTTTTTTAGAAAAATGAATTTTTGATGATAATCAAATAATATAATTTTCTTTTGATTGATGCTTAACCTTGTATATACGACCACGCATGTTTCATTATTCTAGAAAATACATTAATACCATCATTTGACAGATTCTAAAAATTATATATCGTCATTTAATTATAAAAATATTATTATATTGTTTTTAAAATTATTAATAAATATAAGAAAATCCTAAAATGGTTCACTCGTTTGGTAAGCCACTGTTTTTGCTCCAGGCAAGACTTTTGAATGTCGGTATTTTAAAGACACATCATATAGAATGTGATACTATATTATAAGATTTAAGCCATTTTCTTTCTCGGTATATTGTATTTGAAAATAATTTTAAATGTAATTGTTTTTGAAAATTATTGATTTTATAGAAAAAATAATAGAACAAAGCCAAAAATTAGGAATTTGTATTTTTCTTTAGTTATAAAAACAACATTATCTATTAAATATTGATTGAATTTATTTTTTATCTTTAGAACTATTAGTCATTAGTTTTCAACTAGTCATTAACATAGATTGTTTAAAAATAGCATATATATATAATTGAATATTTAATAAAACAAAAAAAAAAAAAAAAACAATTTTATGATGTGTTTACAAAATAAAAATTAACTTCTTTATTTAAAATTGGTACATTTTAGAGTTTAAAAATGAAATAAAAAATTACTTATTTTGTCAAGAACGGATATAAATCCTTTTTTCTAAAAAATTTTCACAATACTATAATATATTAAATAAAAATATAAAATTTAGCTTCCATATCTCTAGGATATAATTTATAATAATACTTAAAAAAAAATAAAAACAATGATTGACAAATAAAGCTAAATATTCTGAAACTCGATTTATTGGATTATTATATATTTCGAATTTTGACATTTAACGATTTACTTTTTCATTAGTTTTATAGCTTGTCTATCTGATGTCCTTAAGTGAACATTTGAAATCCGCTCTTTTTATTGACATACAAAAATAATAATTAGAAGAGAAAATATACACAAACATTCTGCTGCCTAAAGACATAGTAATGTAATTTACTCATGGTGATTCTAAATTATTATACTTATTTCATCGTACATTTTTTCTCGAATATTTGTTAATAATAATCAATCCTAATCTTTGTCAATTCTTATCACACATCTGTTGTGAGTAATATAGTTATCAGGTTATCTTATTAATTATTATATATTAGTCTAAATTTACAGGTTGGTTTTTTTTTTATCAAACAACACTCATTATTATTTTCAATCTTTTTAAAATATTTTTTTACTTAATACCCAGTTGAAATAAAATAACATTTTTTAAATATTTTTTTTAAGTTTTTACTTTTTTGAATGACAATATATACGTATATTTTTAATTCCATATTCAGAAATAAGATATTTTCGAAGTATTAAAATATGTATAAAATTCGAAATTTAGATGAGTAGTTTATAAGTTATATAGTATTTATTTTATAATTTAGATTATCAGAAATCATGGAAAGACTTAAATATTTATGACTCAATAACTATTCGTCTGATTTTTGATTTTTGTATGTCAAAATATTTTTAAAAAAATATTCCTCTTTAGAATATGAAATTATAAATGTATTTTTTTATTCAACGAAGTAAAAAATTTGTAAAACTATAACGATAAAAAATATAACTAAAAAAAAAAAAAAATGTTATTTTATTTCGACGGAAAATTATATAACGACAATATTTTCAAAAACGCTAATAAATTTTGAAATACTAATAACTCAATACATACACACACACACACACTATATATATATATATATAGTTTATCATCAATAATAAAAATTAAATTTACCATAATATATTTGTACAAAACCAATAATAATTAATAATGTAAACACAATTTCACATAGATCATGCTATATTAGCAGAGTCTCTCCAATTATCAATACCAGCGCATCAAAACAGAATAATTTCATCAAACCGAGATCCAGCTACGTTCAATAATGTTTCAACACTACATCGTATAGGTATGATAATCATTAATTTCATAATTATTATTATTTGAAAATTGTTTAATATATTCGCACAATGTTTTGAATCGTAAAATTATTATGTAGTAATAAATAATATATAATCACTAATTAACATTACTTTAAAATTTTATAATTATTTTAGTCCCTTACCAAGCGATGTTTAATCAATTTACTACTGGAATGCCAAATACTTCTCGTAAGTTAATTTTTTTGAAATATAAACTAAAATAATAGATTTTTTTTTAATTTATAAAAGACATTTATAATCTGTTTACACTATTAATATAATAAACAAATTAATAATTGTTTGTGAAAGACTTGAAAAACGCGAGGAAAGAGAGTATCCATTGATAGTACTTCTAATTTTATAAACTACAAGAGGGAGTAAGCTGTTATAAGTTATTTAATAGATCACCTGGTCATTTAAATTTAAGACTATGGAAAGGGTTATTTGGTAATGGACGAGAGAAGAATTTGGATATGAGAAGTATTGCGTGGTCAAAGAAGTTTTAAAGTTTTAGTGATAGAAAGCAAGAATGGAGATTTTTGGTCTAACTATAGATTTCAATTCATTTTATTCACCATTTTAGGACATAATATCACTTTTGGACCTGAAGGCAGTAATTTGTTTATTTACCATTTACCACAAGAGTTTAGTGACAACGAACTAACTCATATGTTTATGCCATTCGGTCAAGTGCTAAGCTCAAAAGTATACATAGATAGGGAAACGAATCAAAGCAAATGTTTCGGTGAGTACAATTCATGTGAATTATTTTACGATGTACCCTAAATTAGTTAGCAAAGTTATTAAACAAGCAATTCATTATTATCAAAACTAAGTGAAATTAATTCCTACATAAACATTAAATTAAAAAAATTATTCAAATCTGATAATAAAATTAATGCTATAAGAATTATATATATGTATAATATATATATATATATCAAAGTATAAAAAATGTATAATTTATTATATATTAATTCACGTTTATTATAATATTAAAAATAAAACAATAAATTTATCTAACAGTTAATATATAATTATGCTTACATGTTTTAAAATATTATATTATAATTTGAAAATAAGCAATTTATAAAATGTATATACATTTAATATTTAATAACACATTTTTAAAACTTTTTCGGCAACAGGTTTTGTATCATTCGATAATCCAACAAGTGCACAAACTGCCATTCAAGTAATGAATGGTTTTCAAATATGCCAGAAGAGGTTAAAAGTACAATTAAAACGCCCAAAGGAAAAAAATGCTAGTAGAATTTATTTTTAAATGTAATTTATTTATCAAATTTGAACGTCCTTATGTATTTAATTTAATGTATGAAACCAATCAGTAACCCGTAAAATTAATATAATAATATTACTTATTTACTAATTATTCATATTATACTATAATACTGTATAAAAGTACGAAACGCGGAAATATCATCAAAGAATTTTCTATGATAAATTTAATCAAAATATGACAATAAAATACCTGTATAAAATGGAGAAAGATGTAGTTGAAATTAAATCAAAAAAAAGATTGTATAGGTAGAATAAATATGAGGTTAAAATAATATAATTTAGCATTTTGGATATTTAAATAATTCATTTTAGAATTTATTAATGCAGTCATAGAAAAATTAACTAATTTATCAACCTTCAAAAAAAAAAAAAAAAATTAATATTTACGGAGTTTTTTTTTAATTTAATTTAATGTTTATGCTTAAATATATATTAGTGCTTAGTTCCTAAAATTAAATTTTGATTCCTAACAAAAAGTTTTTTTTTCCAAATACAGATAAATTATACAGAATGTAAATTTAATACTTAGATTAAAAAATGTATAATATTTTAGATAATTTTTGTTTCGTTTAATCGATGTAAAATACAATTTATACGATTAAAATAAAATAATTTTAGAATTTATTAAATTATATAGAAGTATGAATTGAATACACAGTAATTTAAATATAATCATTAGATGTAAATTAAGTTATATAAAACGTGCATAAAATGGTATGTCATTATTTTATTTTGCGAGCATCATACTTATTGTAAATAACTAAATATTAAAAAACAATAATAAATTTAAAAAAAAAGTAATTCAATTTTAAATATATAATTATCCACACTTTAATAAATTTAAATACTCTTCTAATAAATAAGGTACAAGAAAAATATAATGTTTGTATGTAACAACAATTATACAAAGGTATTTATATTGAACTGGGTGAACATTAATATGTGTAATTTAACTGTAATTTAAATTGCAAATACAATAAATAAATTTTGAACTAAATTAAAAGGTGTTTGGTTTTAAAATTTATATAATTATACTTAAAATAAAATTAGTTTTTGCTTATTAATATAAGTTCTTTCTTTCAAAAAATGTCTTGTCAAAATATCAATATTTTCAGGTTATTATTTCAATTAAATACTATATCAACAGACCACACTCAAACTTTAAGTAGGTACTCAGGTCTCAGATATTTGCTTACTTATTCACAAATAAAAAATAATTTATAAATTGCAATTATATTTTCATTAAATCTTTATCAGCTTCTAATTATAATCATATTTATATCATAAATCAAAATTTTATTATTCTAAAAATTCGGTACACATCTACATCAAAATAACACAGTGAATATTTCAAATGGTCTTAACGATGTAGATCGATGTTTATCTAATTATCTATAAACCTGGATATGCTCAACATGTCTACAGATCTATATAAACATTAATTAATATTGAAGATTTTATTTCACTGCAGTGTATCAATCAGTTAAATGTGTCAACCTATATTGTCACATTTATTTTCATATTTTTCTTATTATTTTATTCTGTTTGCAAAACATGAATTATCACAATAACATATAATTTTCACATCAAACAGTAATTAATGTCCTAAATAACTACCTATATTAGTGTATGTCTCTCGCCTTTCTTAATGCATTTAAATAGCTTAATAGTATATGATATTTCAAGTAGATTTCTGCCCACACCCATCATAACAAATTTCAACGTTTTTTTATATCAAATTTGTCAATAAGTAGTTTTGTACTACATATTTTTTCATGATATTTTTATTTAAAATCACTTTGATAACTAAATTATATTATTTAACTACTGCTTTAAATCTTGCATTAATTTTATGATATAATTTTAAGACAATACTCCAGTTGTAAATGCATAAAAGAACCAAGTATTTAAATAAGAACAATTGCATTAATTTTTTTTTTTTTTTTTGTACATTGTAAAAATCAAGATTAATTATTTATCGTAAAATTTTATATAAACACAATAACTAGTAACCTATACCCATTATATTATATTTTTGCTGATATTGATTTACTATGAATGTTTTCAAAAAAGTATATAATGTATAATTTAACCGTGTAGATTATTTATCTATACCATGATATGATTTGTTAAATATTACATTAATCAACTATTTATTTAATAGAAATAATTATTTTTAACTATGGTAATTTTTATAAAAAAAAATAATATTGGCTCATGATTGGCATATAGCAATATATGCAATTTAAACAATATATTTAAATACGATTTAAATAATAATGTTATAATAAATCGAATAATATATGCATATAATATTTAAAACTATTTAAAGTAGTATTCATTGTAAAATTAAAATAACAGAATATTCAATTAATAATTGATATCATTACGTAGAAATCTAATCAAATATTATTATTGTTTATGATAAAAACATCGAATATTTTAGTCATTTATCATTTATATTGTTTATAGGTATAAGTAGATATAGTAAACTCAAATTAAATAGTTTGAAAAAAAATGTGTAACCTATAATACATGTAGTTTAGAAAAATGTTGTTCAATAAAACAAAATCTATATCGTGATATTCATTCAATCGTGCATTGAATTAACTTCATTACAGTTTGAAGGAAATACAATTTTCTGAGATCAATGAACATGTGATTTGATTTCAAGAGATATTGCGTTTTATATAAATTAAATAAATATAACTATTTAAGTACAATTTATCTACTGAGCTTTAAGAAATAAAAGTATTCATAAATAGTTCCGCATGAATATTATTTTTCTTTTTAATAGTTTATCGTAATTTAATAAAAATTAGATTGTAGTATTTTTTATTCACTAAATATCATTTTGCTCTGCTATGCACGAGAGAGCTAAAAAAATAATAAAAATTTATCTTTTTAATATTCATAATTTATTAATTTATAAAAATAACAATAACATGTATGCACAAGAACAGTGAGAGTTTAATTTAAGAAAATAATTTAATATGTACATAACCTACGTACGGATACACTAATATTAAATTAATTATTTTGATTTCATACCAAAATATTTAGCATATAAATATATTATTAAGTAAATTTAAGTTATGAAAAATAAGTTTGAAAGTTAAAAATACACTGATCATATTATTAAACATAATTTACTGATTTTTTAAAATCATTATTAAATTAATATAATGTATATTTACTAACCTAATTAAACATTAACATTTAAAATACAAAAATGATTTAAGATGAATCATATAGTCTAAAAAAATCAGATTTAAACTGTAGTTTATGCACATATTATTCATTGTTGGTAGATTTCATTATAATAAATAAGAAAATAATACTAATTAATTAATTATTTGGAGGTTAAAAATATTATCTTAAAACTTTTTATTTTTTAACAAAGTAATTTCATACGCAACAAACATAGTGATGTTTAATGTTTCTGACGGTTATATATTCTAAAATACTTATTTATTGATTAGAAAAAATAATTTACAAATTTCGTTGAATAATAAACATATTTGTATATGTAAATATACCTATGTATATTTTAATTATTTCAATTTATTCATAATGGTGAAATTTAATAGTTGACTAATTAAACATTTTCTAATATTAATATAAATTATATTCAAAATACTTTTTATTTTTTCTAATTTTATTGGCAATGAATTAAGCTTAGATACTCTCATTATATTACCATAGTCACTGTTACTAAAAATATTAAAAATTACCATAACTATAGCCTCATAGGATCAATTTTACATGATACTAAAAGTGTTAAAATCAGTGGCCAGTGATAGGAATTTGGCGGAAAAATATTATAAACAGGATTTTGAACTCAACATTTTTATTGGTGTCATGAATATTATTCAATATTATTAATTTAATGTATGTATGCATTTATTGCTTTGACGACTATTATAATTTAAAACGTAATTGTTTTAATCTAGAGACTTATTATTTAATACTTTATTTAGATATATCAACTTTAGATATTTTTAAAAATATAAAAACCCTGAACAATTATTGAGTTTAAAGTATAAGCTATTTTAATATATAATTAAGTATTTTAAAGTGTGGATATTTTAAATATAATACTTCATAATAAATAATAATTCTGGTGTATACTATGTAATTTAATAATATTTTTAGCCAAATTTCATTTATTAAATGGTCTTCAATAATTGCATAACATATACAATTTAAGCTTGATATTTTCCTATAATTGAAAGCACTAAAAAAAAAATCAGGGTTATTATTTGAGATTTTTTTTTTATTATAAAAAAAAAAAACTGTAAATATTTGATATTACAGTTTTTGGTACAATGAAATAATAAAAATATAACTTTGTTTTTAAAATGGTTCTGTTAAAGAATTTAATTCAACAAAATACTGTAAAAAGTGTTGTAAAATAAATGATGGGTTAAACTTGGTCAATTAGTTATGAATTTATGAAATGATGAACATTTAATAATAAATTAATTACATTAAGGTTATAAATATTAGAGAACTAGAGTTGCATTAATATTTTAGCATATAAGAATTAAATAATACTCAACTACGTTATATTATTCTCAAATAAAAAATTAAATAATTATATTAGCATTAGTATTCTCTTAAATATGTGATCAATTTAGCTTGGTTTCTATAACTAAACTATACTTATTCAAGATATATATATATATCCATTTATATTATATTATATATTATTAAATATGAGAAATATATAAGAATTAAGATATAACAATACCCTTATTTCTGTTATGTTGTAAATTACACTTTAAGTGAAAATAATAAAACCATTTTTGTTATCTTTCTTCTTTTTTTTATGACTATAGTCAGTCTTTTATAATATTATAATTTGTATAAAAAAAAATGTTTACATGCTCAAAACATTTACTACTAGATTATGCATTCTCGTTTATATATGTATTTAAGTGGAATAGCCAGTCTAATGATAGATCTGGTTATTGTAATTTAATTAGTAAAATACCATATGTAAGA